GACAAAATTCAATGGGAAATATGTTTAACAAGGCAACTAACCTCAGAAAGAAAGCAACTGGTTTCTCCCAAAAAATCCTGGTCTTTTAACTTTAGCATCTGCAAGGCAACAAAATAGAACATTTTTACTACAAACTTCACATTCACATGTTGCTTCATGCTTGGGTTCATTTACATCAATAAGACAAGGAAATGTGTATACATATTGGAAAATGTATATATTACTTTCAGAAAAAAAATGAAGTTCCCTTTTCTTTCTTAGCAGCCTAACTTTCTACCCAACTAGAATACTTGGTCTATGCATGAGCATAAAGCCTCCTTCTACGCAAGTTATTAGTTAGACAAATAAAATGTAAGCCATTAGAAAAATGGCCTTTGTTGGTTACTTTTTAATTGGCATGGAGAAAAAACTAAAAGGCTTCATAGTATGGTTGCTACTTTTGGTCTATGGTTTTGATTTTAAAAAAATTTTTAATTCTAGAATAAAATTAACAAGATTTATAAATTAATCAAATTTTTGATTTTGAGAATTAATTCTAAAAATTATTTCTCAATTAGTTGGCATTTTTAATTTTTATTTTTGGTTTTCAATTGCTAATTTTGATCATTTAAATTCAACATCATTTAAATTTTGACAACCAATAACAAAAACCAAAATCTACAACCATACTAAATGGAGTCTAAAAACTGGTTTTAAGAATAAAATTTAAACTCTAAAGTCAAGGAAACGAAACAACAACAAAAATAACAATCTTCATAAAATAACTAATTTTCAATATGTGAGAAACCTTTCAAGGCAGCAACCTAATTTGTACTCTCTCTTTCTTTCTTTCTCTTTTTTTTTTTTTTTTATGGAAGGCAGCAATCTAATTTGTACTTTTGATACTTTACAGTTACAAATTTTTGTATAATCCTCAAGTATTTCAATGCTATATAAATGAAGCTGCCAAAATTTGTTAAATTTTAGAAAGATCTAGTATTTTATTAAGCACATAAGTCCCATGTTTTAGAAATTTAGAAGAGTTTAATCAAGTAGAATCCACTCTAGGAAATGCAAAGATGTCATAGTATGATATCCTCCATCAATATATTTACAAAATCTATCAATGTTATGCATTACAATTGGAAATGAAAAAATAGCTATTTTTAATTTGAAAGATGAATTTGTGATGTACCTTTACGGGTATGTTGTGATATTTTGTATCCACATCGTACACATGAAAACTTGACAATATAGGAGAAGATAAAAATGGAAAAGGATGAGCCTGACCGTAACTTAAACAAGGCTTAATATATAAATATAGCTTGAACACAAGATCTTTGAAAAATAAAGGAACTGAAAATGTGAGAAGCATACACCAAAGGCTGCACCATCTCAAAATGGTAAGCAATGCTAATCTTCTCAATCCACGCAGGATTCAGACTGTTAAGTATAACTTCTGTGCGACCAACCTCCTCTAATGTCCCGTCCTTTTTCTTTGCATATAGAACAGCCATAGGATCACTCTATCAAAAAAGAAGAAAAAGAAAAGCATATCAGATGGAATCATGCTAAGAACTAAGAAGAATCTTAGAAGCACATGCAACTTAATACTTTATGTGGTGCATATCTCATATTCAGTGGTCGACCTAGAATTTGAGATAGGGGGCCAAATTTGTAGACACTTAAATCAAATTTGTGTTTGAAATATAATTTTTCCAGTCTATTTTAGTTATATTAATTTGACTTTTATGTAAAATTTAACTTGATGATTTTATATAACAAATAGATGAAAATTGAAAATTTTTTCTTCCAAACACAGCTTGTTGAACATTTCACTTAGATAAAATATATATATATATATATAGCTGTCATTAATTTGCACGTAAAATCATTAAATTAATTAACATAAAGTTGACAAAGTGTGGCAACTAAAAAGGACTAGATGAAGTAAAACATAGTTGTAAAGTTGTAAATTTGTGTCTAAAATCAAACTTGGTCATGCTCAATGTGAAATATACCATCCATTGAAAATTTTCGAGATTTGTAAATCATTTTCTAGTTGTATTTGTGGGGGAAAATATAGAATAAAAGATATTGAAAGAAAATGTAATAAATTTAGAAACATATCAAACATTTATATATCAAATGACAAAATAAAATAAACAGATTTGATTGAATAAAAAATTATGAGTTAGATGTGAAGTTTTAATATTTGACCTAAAAAAATAGTTACTGGTAACTAAAATGGATATTTAAAACTAATTTGAGGCAGAAAAAAGCAGAAAAATGTTAAAAGTTTAAAGATTTTCTTACCAATTATTTGGCCAAAAATATTAGAGACTAAAAGGCAAGTTTGTATATTTAATAGATTAACTATGAAGAGTTACTAATTGTTATGTCAACGTTTTGTTTTGAATTTAATGACAAGATTTACAAAAAGAGTATTGATAATCATTTTCATCAATATTAAGAATAATTAGGTGAATAAAATAAAATTTAAGGATAAAATTCCCAAAAATGCAAAATTTGAAGACTAATTAGAAAATTTTTCAAAAGACCGGAAGGGCCTATGGCCACCCCTGGTCTATACGCCACTGCTTCCATTAAAAAGATAAAAACGGATTGCAAAACTTGACCCCAAAGGGAAACGAATGGACAACTAATCTAAACTACTTTAAGGAAGACTATGCCCTTGTTGCATATGAAGATATATATTTTACCTTTGATGTGATGTCACGATCACATAAGTTTGAGGCAGATAAAGTCAACTGCAGCAAATATTTCAGTCATATTAACCCATTATAAGTATAGATTTTGAATAAAAGTTATCAAAATTAAGGTAAAGCTTATACAAAAATGAAAGAAAAGATAACTCTGAATTAAATAACTATGATGCAACTAAACTTGCAGTTGCAAACTTAAGATCTCTTGCCATGCTAACATAAAGGGGTTGTCCACGGACTGCAAACATGAATCTAACAGGAATAAAGCAGCAACCAGCTGGTTCATATATTAAAATACTTCCTAAAACATGTTTAGTCCTGTCTTCTTTCCGTCCATGAGGATCATGACAGCATTAGACATTAGACCCTTCATCCAGCTTAGTACACAATTTATTGCCCATAACATAATAGTAGTTTGGAAGCTTGACATTAATCACATTATAAAGCTGCTCCTACCTGCAACAACTAGAAGAGCAAGAGAAATAGTGGAAAGGGTACCTAAGTAGGGCCTAAAACAAAATACCACAGCATTAAAAGGTATGAAGAATTGCAAAGAAAAATCTGGTGGACATGTATATGAACGAAGGGAATAAAGGTATAAATCATTGTGAAAAACATTTCTCCATTTATTAACTTTTATGATGTAAAGTGAGATAACTAACAATTTTAGTCTCCAACTCCAAGTTTAACACACACCAAAGTACTTAACTAAAAACCAACCGCATGTGGCTCACTTTTGCATCACCAAAATGCCACTTAAATTGCAGAAACAGTTGATCATACTCAACTTGTTGCTCCTAGTTAGCAGCCAATCAATAAAAGAATTTGCAAATTTGAGATTTATTTCTCTTTCAGATTATCTTAAGAGAATGCTGTTTACACATTTGATAGCCATTGATGGAGGGGAAACCACCCCAACATCACAAGACCCGCCTCTTATCAATAATTATAAAATGTGGGTGTACTGCATATTACATTTTTGGTTATCTGATTACCACATAGCATTAATGCTTTAAACCAAAGCCAAAAAAGACTACATACATCAAATTTGTAGTTAACGATCCATATTGAAATAAAACAATTCCAAAATCAATTCCCAAATTAACAACCTTTCCTTCCCATACGCTACTCAAGAAGATTAATTAGTCAGCACAATGATCCATAACAATAAACACAAAACCTTAAATTTAACTAATTTATAAAAGAAACATCACAAAATAAAAACTACATGAACACTCATTGACAAATATAATAAAATCATCTAATCATAGGCCGTATAAAGGAATAAAACTCTTTCTGACCTAAGTTTCTTATCAAATCTTCAATTTAAAAACTCAACTCTTTTTATAAAATATGATAAGAGATACAAATATAAGTGACAACTTCGACCACAATTTCATAATTAGAGATTAGATTATGCACTACCAACAAATAACCCAACATATTAAAATATATGATTTGGAATTACACATGCATAAACATAACATTGATATAAGATTGTTAACCCTAATGTATAGATATATATATACCTCAAGCGGTGTAAACAGAGCATGTTGGCCTCGGGATCTGAAAAAGAAATCGACAGCGTCGTTGTGGCCAGCATTGTTGTTCTGGGTGGGCCTCCCCTGGACCCCTCCGACGCCTTGTTTGCCCCCCTGCAAGTCCCCCGACATACATCCTCCCATCACTGTTTCTCTGCGCCGTACTCTCCTCCTGCCCTTTATATCCTTTAATTACAATAAACAAGGAATAAAAAATAAACCCAAAAGTCAATTCCAAGAAGTTTAAAGAACTTAAAATTTTTTTAGGGTTTTGATTTTATGGGCAATATAAAGAGGGAGTTGGGTTGTGAATTTTTCTCAAAACCGTGTGGAGGAAATTGCCATAAATCTTCCTAACAATTTTAGTTGTAGATAAACTTACAGCAATTTTTTTAATAGCGCGTTAGTTACAACTTTTACTGGTAATCGTCTTTTAATAAAAGATAGTTAAATAAATTTATGAAAATACATTTTATAATTCGAATTTATTTAAATTATAAAATATTAACTATTTGATAAGGTTAAGTGTTGAATATTTTGTGTCTTTCCCTTATTAATTGATTTTTATTTTAAAATTCAGATTAATTTATATAGTAAAACAGGATTTTGACATATTT